AATAGGAACTCAACTTCACATTCCCTCCAGATCCAGCGTAACGTTACATCCTCCACAATGCAGGAGTAGACGATTCTGCTTGCATCCTTGAATTATTTCAACGAAATGGTACCATCTTCCTGATATTGTCTGTTCAACCATTCAATTAATTAGCTCTTGTGACAAGATTTCTCCTCTTATGTAACATTTCTATGTACATTCCCTCATCTGACTCTCACAATAACCACATGCAGTAGATAAATTGTCACTATTTTAGAGATGAGGAACACTGAGGCTTCTCTAAGGGCTCACAGGTAATAAGGGAAGAGCTGAGACTGGAACCAGGTCTATTTTACTCTTGTGCTTTCTCCACTACCCCTCGCTGCCTCCTAATAACACAGTCACATAGAGGAATGCAGCTTACTAGGAGTTTCCACGCTGGTGACTCCTTTCTAAATAATGACCATCAAGGAATTACTCAGGAGAAGGTCGGTGAGGAATCCATACAAATACCTGGTGGGCCACTGATGTCAGTTGCTACTTTTCTCAAACCTGCAATGGAAAGTCTGCCGTCAGTCCATCAGTCCTCAAAGATCTGTGAACTGAGGGGGCCAAAGTTAATGCTGGTAAGGTACTTAGAGCGGCGTGTGGCATACTGTCACTGATATACAAGGAGTGTTTGTTAAATGGACATGCATACACTTAAGTGTCCAGGATGGGGAGGTAGTCTTTCTTTAAGACTTCATCTCTACTAGCAGGGTAAATAATAATAAAATTAGTAACAGCAATAATGATAATGATGTAACATATTGGCTAACATTAGTGTTAGTCCTCATAAAATTGTACAAAATATGTATTATTAGCCCTGTTTTTCAGATGGGAAAACTGACATCAAGCATCTTGTCCAAAGTCTTACTGCTACTAAGTGGACAGTTAAGATTTGATGCTGGGTTGCCCTATTCTAAATTCTTTTCACCCCATCATGCTTCTTTCAAATCTAATTAATTCAATCACTTGGGATAATAATTCGATCATTAAATATTTTACCCTACAAACCTTTCCTTTTCCCTTTAACTGTCAAAATCTGTACTGTCCAGTATGATAGTCACATATAGCTACTGAACACTCAAAATGCTGAGTCCTATTTGAGATGTGCTATAAGTATAAAACACACACTTAGTACAAAAAAAAGTAGAATAACTCATTAATAAATTCTAATGTTTACTACATGTTGAAATGATAACACTGGGTATATTTGGTTAAATTAAATATGTGATTAAAATTAATTTGATTTTTTGCTTTTTTAATGTTGGTACTAAAACATTTTAAATCACATATATAATGGCTTTTTTTTTTTTTTTTTTT